TTCTGACAAATTTTTATTTTCCTGTTCCTCAGAAAAAGTCATGACTCTAAATGGGAAAATTGAGGTAAAGTTGGTTTTATATTCCCACATTCTGACTTTTTAATTAATAATATAACTTCAGAAACGTGTTCTTTACAAATAAAAATTGAGAAATCATACAAGCAGACAATGACTATCAAAGTACAGCATTGTTCACACAGTCAAATAAATAGTGCTACTGCTGTTGTGAAGTTATACCTGCATGTGATTTCAGACCCAATAATCAAAATACCATGGTAAATGATATAGGGAGCAGGTCACAAGATGTCACTACAGCCAACTTTGCCTCAATCATGAGAAAAGGGTAACACTTCACATTACCGAGTGAACTGAGCGTTTAAAAGTCACACTCTTTCAGTTAACCATGTTAAAATACACAAGCGTGCTCGCACACGAGAATGACAGGTGAATTTACACGTCTCAATCGACAAACGTAAATGTTAAGGTAATCAAACAGATGTCAACAGCCACGTTTCTAGCACATACAGAGAAAAGTTTAAAGTAACTATTATTAACAAAAAAGACACTCTCTCGTGTCTTCTGCCATCAGTTTTGTGCTCAACAGCATGAAGTGTGTGTGTGTTTGTAAGTGACGCTCTGTCTGAAGGTAAAGCAGGTGAGCGCTCGCGTATCGCTAGAGCTGCGAAACAAGCTAAAGAGCCGCCAACACGAGCTGAACAGCTGCTTTCCTCGTGTGAATGAGTCCTCAAAACAAGTGGAGTTAAAGCTGTTTAAAGAAACTCTATACGACTCCAAAAATGGCTTACCGTTGACATTTCACATCGTATGATGGTCCATGATTCGCACCGTTTAACGTCTGCGCTTCCTGATCACTGGCAGGAGAGAACGATGCCACAACGGCGACTTCCGGTTTAAAAAAAAATTCTCCCTTCATAATAAAGGTTTAGAGTTTTTTTTTTTTTGGCACAAATCATTTGTCAACTGATAATGATGTAGACAATGTTATTCGACTTTACCTTTTAATTTCTCATTGGTTTATACTGATATTAAGTACACATAAACTGACCAATATAATTTTGTACGTAGAAAGTACCAAAAGGCATAGTTCAGAGACATAATATGACAGAGATTTCATTCTACACGTTCATATCAAAAACACAAATTTTGAGAAGTATGTTTAGGGTGTATACTTTGTATACCCCTAGGAAAATTAACCATGGTTTTGTCATTCGTTTTTGTTAGACTGATTATCATAACCACAGAGGGTCTTTCTATCATGGATAAAACATTTAATGACAATTATATTAGGACAATCCTAACTGCAGATAAACAAGCTTTCCCTTCATCCCTCACCCCCAAAAAACTGGTCAGATTATAAAAAATACATCATTCCCAATAAAGTAAAAGAAACTTATTTTAACATAGGTAAATTTTACATACTTACATATTACATGGTTATTATTCATGCAATAATTTTATTAGTAAGTTTAAGGAAGGTTTTTCACTCTTGTGTTGTTTTTGTAAAATGGAGCCGGAAACATTTCTCCCTTTATTTTTCAATTGCAGTTACACAAAATGGCTTTGGTCCCAAGTTTGCTTATTAATTTTTGAAGCGTATTAAAAATTTATTGATATAACTGAAAAAAATGGCTGCATAATACCGTGATAGTCATAATAATTAATTTTATTTGTAAATGGCGCCTTACAGCAAGCATCTACAGCCATAACAGAACAAATTAATACACAAAAACATTGCCAAACAAAATTTTAAATGTATGTACAGAGTTGCAGGTACAAACACATCATGAGTATAAAATAACAGGATAAAAGATAGTCAAAGGAAAGCCTGCTTAAAAAGATGGATCTTAAGATTTAAAAGTGTGTAAACTATCACGGCTCCTTAGATCCAGGGAAAGCGAGTTCCATAGTTTATTAGCCGAGGAGCTAAAATATCAAACAATCTTTGTGCTTAATCAAGTGCGAGGTGGCACCATGAGAAAGAATTTATGGATTGCAACTCTGGATTATTGTAAATGAACAAAATAATAAAAAATCTTATTTAATTAGGAAAGTAACACATCCACAAAACAAAATGTATGCTCACTGTACCAAACTGTAAACTATTTTTCATTGATCTAAACATTTTTTATGATTCCCTGACTTCTATACAGAGTAATTCCAATGCTTTCAAGACATTCCGACTGCTGAAAATAATATTTAATGTACCCGTTTCATTTTGTTGTTAATTCCCTTGTATACTGTTTTATGTATAATTCTGTATTCCCCTTTTTAATAAAAAAATAAATAAAAAAAGAACCAGTTTTGCTACAAAAAAGGTTTAAACTATTATTAGTGTTGCAAAACCACGACTATTTGTATTATTTTACCATGGTTAAAGTCTACTTTTTTCTTTCAGTAAAACCAACATTTTCATATGAAAAACAAAATCCCCTAATTATTATTTACCACAAACCTTATTTAATTTTTACAGGGTCCTTACCAGTGATCATATTTTTGTACACGATATTGGCTGATCAACAACCTCATGATCCAGAATGCTGACTGAGATGCACTCTTTGTGTACTGAAGTAAATAATACAGAATTGTGATGTTTGGGTGAAGATCAAGTAAGTTGTTGACATGTTAAATGTTGAGTAAGTTCTCCACAGTGCTGTGCCAAAGCTGTTTCTGCGGTTTTCAGACCAGATGAACATGCATTGCTCTTTATGTAGTTATTGCTTGTTTTGTGCAACACCTTCGCCTGAGGATGTCATTTTCACTGTCTGTCCTTCACACACAGATGCTCGGATGTGTCGAACACTATAAGATGAAGTCAGAGCTGCCAACAACACCTGATAAGACAGTGTAAAACAAGCTGAATGCATAATGTTGGAGAGGATGACATTAATCTCCTTGCAGAATTTATTTTCAAGCCAATTATCTAAAAAAAGGCTGTTTTATTATATTATATTATATTATATTATATTATTGTTAATTTTATATAATTAATATATAATTGTATTTTAATTTTAAAACTGTCCTAAGGAAAGAATGAGTGTTGTTCAATAGTTTAAAGACAACTTTCGTAAAATGTTTGGAGAATCATCATAAATAATCAAAAACAAATTATGAATAAATAATTTCATTAATCAAAAAAATCTAACTTTAAGTTATACAATAATACTAATTATAAATTATAATACAAATAATATTAATTTCACACATTGTAAATTGGGTATTTATACAAGAAACTCTATATTTCTAAAATAAATAATAATTTTTCATTTTAGGATGGGTGTCCCTTGCATGCGTATGATCATATTTGGGGTTCCGTGACATCTTAAAGGTTCTGTAAGCATTTTGTTCTTTCTTTAAAATAATAAAAAAAAAACAAATAAGACCATTTAGATTTTCTGCTTTTTCCTTTTTAATAATCTTTTTCTTATATAGACATTTCAATATGTATATATAAACAGACATTTCAATCCATTTCCCCACCTGTTACCCAACACGCAGTCATTCACTCACACAGTCCCCTTACATACATTTCCCATAATAAATTACCTTTCCCTCTAAAGAAAGAGCCAAGCAAATGCACACAGAGAAAGTGGAATATGGTTGACTTGCACAAAATACATCATCCATCTTAAGAAGATCTGATTTAGGATCTTTATGCATTTCATATAGAGCATCTCATTTTATGCAGATGTAAGCAAGGCCTTGATTTAGCAAACTTCCATGGCTTTAGTCGAAACATCCTATTCAAAACTTACTTATTAAAAGAAACTATGATATTATATAAACATCACACTAGATCGCTGCCTGACAAAACAAGAATGTGACAAATCCATCTGGATTCCATTGATTAAGTCTTTTTCAAATGATGAAACTATTTAAATCTTTAAATCGCAGATAAATTTCAGTCGTGTTTTCATAAAAAGCTTTCAGCTTGTAATTTCTCTCAACATCCATATTCTAAAGGCACAATCTAAAAATGCAACATTCTCCAAACAAGAGAGATGAAAACATTATTTAACTATCCTGCAGTCAACTTTGTGCATTGCTTTCCCCGTTACATGACCCCAAAGCTGTCAATCACTTTGAGAAAATAAAATGTATAATCACAACCCATTCCTGCATATAATAATCCTCAATTCCAACCTTCTCCACACAGCTCACATCCTAAGACTTTAAAGAAACATTCCACTTAGTCCTTAAAGAGATAGTTCAACCAAAAATGTAACTTTACTGGTAAGTTACTGGTTTTTACTGCTAAGTTCATGGATTTAAAGTGGTTTGAGTTTCTCTTTTCTACTGAACACAAAAGAAGATGTTTTAAACAATCTGTATAGAAACCTTTAGCCATTGTCATCCACAGTAGGAAAAATAAACCCTACGGAAGTCACTGGTTACCGTAAAAAAGAAACTCGAACAGGTTTGTAAAATGATGTAATTTGATGTGCTTAAAGTTGTGTGTCAATTATTGATGTCAATTTTCTTTTCTTTTTTTTTTGGTTGAACTCTCCCTTTAATATAGCTTTACATCCATATTTGTGCACAAACCCTCAATTCTTTTAGGTTTAAAACCCAAGAGCAGCAGTGGTCGTGGCAGCAGCGTCTGAAATACTCCTCATCCATACACTATTACTCCTTACACTTGCCCCAAAACACCAACTTAGTGCCTCCGTCAAAGCTTACACCTAAACACACCAAAATAACAGTGAGGACACAAAAGGGCATGTGGGAACACCACAAAAACTAAATAATTAACTGCTGGGGAACATATAATTATAATAATAATAATAATAAACCACCCACTTTTTTACCCCTAAATACACCAAAACAATCACTCTGGACAAAGTATAAAGCATCTGAGAAGTGCTGCTGCTTTTTTGTGTGATGTTTCTCAGAATAAAATGGCTCTTGATCATCGGCTGGGGGAAGTCTTGTATGTTCGATGACGTTGTATAAGCTGAATCATCCAGGCACAGTTAGACTCTACAGTTTTGCCCAGAGGAGTTCTCTGTATAATTAAAGAATGACAGTAACAGCCAGCCAGACATCTTGTGTTTTGTCCTGAAAACATGGACTGCTCACATCCTGTGTGTACAAATGCACATACAGACTCTTACATACACACACACACACGCACACACATGGACACACGTACAGCACAGTCTTTCTGAAAACAACGAAACCTGCAAGTGGCACATGCTCTCTGAAGCACACGATCACACACTCGCTCCGTTCATGTCGTCATAAAGGAACCTCCAGCAGCTTTTTGTGTAGGTACTGCTTGACTTCCTCGATCCCGTTCAACTTCTCCAACTCCAGATAGGGCAACTACAATGAAGAAAGTCAAATAACAATTAAAATATTATGAATCAATACTGCTGCAAGCTTTAAAATGGTATTGTCTAACTATTCTAATATGCTGATTTACTGGTTAGCAATGTGGAAAACACTGTGCTATTTTTGCAGGGTTCCCATCCTTAGCCAAATGATAAAAGATGGCCTATAATGAACAGAACAACAACGTATTGTTGTGCTGCGTATAATATTAATATACTTTTATCTTGAATATAATTTTCATATATTTAATAGCCGTAATTAGAACAACTATGGATAATATACCTCAAAAGAAACAAAAGCAGTCAGACTAACACCCAGTTTTTGAAGTGTTCATTTAGTAGCCAAAGCTCTAGAAATTTACATTTTCCTGAACATGTTTGCTTTAGTTAATAAATACAACATGCTGACTGCATTTGGCTTAAGTGACTGCCAGTTGATGAGCGCCAAAACGTGCAAGACATGATACAGTATAGAAAAATAAGATTTTGATTAAAAAAAAACTCAAATTTTAAGCAATAAACAACAGCCTTAGTCAGCTAGATCTCTGCAACTCTCACATGGTTGCCTACTAAAGCTAAACAGCGCTGTGCTGTCGCTACCTGGATGGGAGACCACATGGGAAAGCTAGGTTGTCACCAAAAGTGGTGTTAGTGAGGCCAGAAGGGGGCGCTCAACCTGCGGTCTGTGCGGGTCCTAATGTCCCATTATAGTGAAGGGGACTCTATACTACTCAGTGAACACCATCTTAGTCGGCAGCTAGCTCTGTGCAACTCTCACATGATCGCCCACTGAAGTTAAGCAGGGATGCACCCGGTCTGTACCTGGATGGTAGACCACATGGGAAAGCTAGGTTGCTGCCGGAAGTGGTGTTAGTGAGGCCAGCAAAGGCGCTCACCCTGCAGTCTGTGTGGGTCCCAATGCCCCAGTATAGTGATGGGGACTCTATACTGCTCAGTGAGCTCGGATGAGACGTTAAACCAAGGTCCTGACTCTCTGTGGTCATTAAAAATCCCAGGATGTCCTTCGAAAAAGAGTAGAGGTTTCACCCAGGCATCCTGGCCAAATTTCCCCATCGGCCTCCGTCCATTATGGCCTCCTAACCCTCCCCATATTATAATTGGCTTCATCACTCTGTCTCCTCTCCACCAATCAGCTGGTGTGTGTGTGTGTGGTGTGCAGTCTGGCGCAAAATGGCTGCCAACGCGTCATCCTGGTGGATGCTGCACACTGGTTGTGAATGAGGAGATTCCCCCCTATGTGTAAAGTGCCCAGAAAAGCGCTTTATAAATGTAAGGAATTATTATTATTATTATCTTTCGGATAAGACTTTAAACCGAGGTCCTGCGATCCCACCAAATTTGCCCATTGGCCTCTGTCCATCATGGACAGACCATTCCCATTTGACCATTTCCAAACCATTCCCATATGACAATTTGGATGCTGCACACTGGTGGTGAATGATGAGATTCCCCCCAAAAATGTGTAAAGTGCTTTGAAAGTCCAGAGAAGTGCTATATAAATGTAAGGAATTATTACTCCTTAGTATTGTCCTTGATATTCTACGACTTGAACAAATAAAATTCCCCCACTTCCGATGTCTTAAATTAAAAGTAAAATTCCATGATATTCCAGAATTGTCATGACCAATGGGGACCCTGTTTTTGTGAAAAAAGTTTTGTCAACTATTTGGTCAATAAATTTAAAAGAACAGCATTTATTTCAAATATAAATCTGTTGTAGAAGTACAAATATCTTTATGGGTTATTAATTAAATAGATTTCATTTATGTAAAAAACATTTAAAAAGCCCTGACATTTTGTCAATGCAGATTGTTTTAGACTATTTCCTGTAATTATTAGTTGATTAACTCAAATCAAATAAACTGTTTAGTGTTCACCTGTAGTATGTTGTAGCCCATTAACCGCAGGTGACGGTCTCTCATGGCCCTGGATCCGACCAGCACATCTGAATTATGGCAATAATGCCATTTATCATTCACAGACATAATAACCCTGCATAAGACAGAAATGACAGAAAACAAATGTTTAGTGATGACAAGCAAGACCTAAGACATGTCTATGCACTTCACCACTAGGTTACTGGCACTGAGGCAAGTTTTGTTTTATAGATACAATGGACTACATGCACAGCTAGTGTTTTTCAGCCAATGAAGAACTTCCTGTCAAAGCTTTAAGTGACTATTTTCAATTTCATAAGGTTTCCTCTTACAGCATGGATGTCGTAATGTAATTCAAATTTAATGAGTTAAATAGACTAAAGCATCCATTTAGTTGAAAAATCGTCAAAAAAAAAAGACCAAAGACCGTTTAAATGCAGGTGCCGTCCTTAGCGGCAGGCTATCGCAGAAACTCTTGAAAATACTGTGTAAAATTTCCATATTTTTAAGACATGGCACAGGAAAATATAATTTAATGCAGTGCTTCTTGCTTGGTCTGAGACACATTTTACATCGTATCTCAGCCAGGTTTTGAAGATTGCTGTTTTTCAAAAAAAAAAGATCTTAAATGCAGCAAATTTGTATGGGATGACAATTCACTGGAAGCCCTGGGGCTGGCGGACTGAATTTAAAAGTCTGTCTGCATATACACCATTGCAAAAGAAGGAGATTAATAGAAGGTAATTTAAGCAAATAATTTTGATGACAAGCTCAGGACAGAAGGGCATTTTAGAAGATAAAATATTTTAAAAGAATATTTTAAATTGGTGCGCACTAAGGTTGGTTGAGTGGTTATTCTAGGTATCCAACCACATTATTGTTTCTTACACTTTTTCAAAGCACTTTTGAAGATTTTTTTGGGCATCTTGCCATTTAAAGTAATCATTTTTGTATTCAAGTAGGTAAAATGTGCAAAAAATATGTAGACTGGAATCTGAAACCCAGACAAATCTACCAGTTTCAAGTATTTTCTGCATTATTTAAGGGTGTTTTCACACCTCTGAATCGATTCAGTTATTCCGAAACAGGGATTAAAATTGTTACATTGTTGCTCTTTGCGCGGTTCGCTTTCACACTTCAAAGTTTCTAAACGGACCAAAAGAGCTAAAACAAGTCATGTGTGAGTAAACTCTCCTCACATTTGTCAGAGATTCACGGTATTTTGCAGAGTCCCGCTCAGCTGTCAGGGGAGGTGGTAGTGTGATGGTGTTTAATAAGGTGCGCGCGACATGTCTGAAGAGTGAGGAGGGATGCGGTGGGGAGGGGTGAGGAGGGTGCGCGACGTATCTGAGGACCGGAAGGGAGACACATGATTACCGGGAGATTATCACTTGTTTGCGGGCATCCTGGAGTCTCTGTGCATTTGCGGGAGACTACCGAAACTTCCGGGAGACTTGTGATGTCTGGAATGACCTCCCGCCATGCTCATAATTCTCTCTTCATATAGCTGTATGCCAATTACATATCCATAATACTCTGTGATATAACCGGGCTCGGATCGTTTGCTTTCTCACTACAATCGATCCGCTCCAGAGTTCGTTTTAATTGAGCCGAGACCACCTCATTCAAGTGATCTCGGAGCGATTGTTTTTGCACGGAACTGAGCTCGATTGGTGGTTGCACATATGCCAAACGAACCGCGCTAACTGGGCAAACGAGAGAGGTTCAGAAACAAAAGTGTAGGTGTGAAAGCACCCTAAGAAGGACTGACCTCTTGACCTGCTCCCCTGTGGTCCTGTGGTCAGCTTCAGGGTTGTCTGGGTTGTGAAGCTGCAGTGGAGAAGCGGTCACTCCATCGCTCTCTCCACCCTCTGGGTAAGAAACCCCTTCATAAAATGTAGCGATCTCGCAGTCCGGCCCTGGGTTTGCTCCTGTCGCTGCACCTCCCTCATCCTCCAGGATCTTTCCAATGGAAAACTGAAACAGGGAGTCTTGTGGGGCAACTGTCCCAGGAACGGAGGGTCCTGTCTGGGTCAGGCAGTCCGAGGGGCTGCTGAGGGTGGAGCTGTCCTGGCTCTCCAGAGAGTGTTCCTTGGCTAGATTGGAGTAGTAATCTGAAGTGCTGTAATATGGGTTGTATTCCAGCGGGACGGTTCCGTTAGGGCCGACCCTCTGAGATCCTGAGGCTGCTGCAGGACGCATGTGAGCAGGAAGGAAAGTAGACTCTTCTCCTGCTCGTTTGTCGGCCTCTTCCTCTAGTGACGTAGCAAAGGGAGAGAACTTCTGGAAGTCAGTAGTGAGGGTTGAGACAGAGCCAGAGCCATCTGGGGATTTAAGGTTCAGCACTACACAGGGTGTTGAAGAGGCTGCTAATGATGCTGCTGGTGTGCCTGTTCTGATGGGGAGGACACGGCCTGTGCTGTCAACCCACAGCAAGAAATCTGACATAAAAAAGCATCAGAATTTTAAAACAGCATGAAAAGGCTTTCAGTATGTTGTTTATCAAACAAATGCATGGACTACAAAAATAAAAATCACCGAATGAACATTCATGCTTTCAGAAGAATCATGTCAATCTGAAAACTTAACAAGAGTCAAGAGAAGTTTTTAAAATACACTACTAGTCAAAGGTTTTAGAACAGGAAGAGTCTTTTCTGCTCACCCAAATCTCCATTTATTTGATCCAAAGTACAGTAAAACATTTAATATTTGTACTATTTAAAAGAACTGCTTTCTATTTGAATATTTATTCATTTATATTTTTGCATCATTACTCAATTCACATAATTCTTCACACATCATTCTAACATGCTAATTTGCCGTTCAAAAAACATTTCTTATTAATATTATTTCAGTTTTATTTTTCATGCAGGACTCTTTTATAAACAGAAATATCCAAAGATCAGCATTTATTTGAAATTAAAAATCTTTTGTGACATTATAAAATATCACACTAAAAACTTTGAGTGACTTTATTTTTGGAGGGTATAAAGAAAATTCCACGCAGCTGTTTTCAATGTAATAATAATTCAAAAGAATTTTCTGAGCAGCAAATCAGAATATTAAAATGCTTTCTGAAGGGTCTTGGAAAAATGAAAAGATGAATACATTCAGCTTTGAAATCACAGGAACAAATGACATCAGTAATATATTAGAAATAAATACACAATACTAATAATTTAATTTGTTTGACATGATCACATTTCTTGACTCACCCGTGTAATATCCAGGTGCAAGAACCTCATCTTGTTTGTATCCGTGCTCACCAACCAGCTGTCTGAGCGCCTCTGCAACCAGACCTTTATAACTGAAACACAGACACGCAAACAGTTTCCTGGAGGTCATGCAGGTAATTTTAAGTCAATTCTTTTTATAGATTTACAGGTCGTTTTCTGACATCTCTTACCTGTATTTGCGGTTCACCTCATCAGCTGTTAAAGCATGGTCGAACATGAGCACCTTGTGTGTGTCCTGAAGGCGGGGTCCAGTGTAGTCCCGGTATTCCAGCTCTACAGCTGCATCCAGCAGTGAAAGATAGCGACGCACAATCAGAGCATACGGGCTGTCTACATTACAGGACACAGAAAATAATTGAGTTCAGACTATCCTGTTATTTATAAAGGCATTTGAATGATCAAAAGGGACTGTAAACTTTTTTACTGAGAAATGAAGTTCAATTTTGCCAAAAATGCCTTATCTCTTCATCAAAGTATCCTGAAATTACAGGTTTTACAATAAGAAAATAAATAAAAATGTAAAAAAAAAAAAAAAGTTTCGAGTACCAAATTGATCGCTAAACTTAATAGTTGAAGTTAAAGTATAAATATAGTTTTTAAAATTATATTTTAAAGATCTGGGGATCAATCCAGCCTCTCTCCGATCCCAGAGGCTCTGTGTTGGTTGTGGAAATATATAACAATTGGCTGAAATTGGCAATGAAAATTTTGGCAATGAAAAGTTTCAAACCAGTGTACAAAGAAATACCGAAAAAAATCTATATATTTTTTAAAAAATGAAACCAATGTTTACTCAATTTATAACTGATCATGATAATCTGTAAAACATACATGCTCACCTTAATTTGTAATTGTAATTTGGGTCGATTTTTTTATTCCATGACAATAACACAATGCAAAAATCAATAAACTTAATCTAATATTTTTTGTATTTATTTGCCTATTTCTTATGGATGCAGAATTTTGTTGACAGTGAAATGTTGTTAAATAGGTATGGTTACTAAATCCACCAGCAGAGGTCACTATTGCTTTTCCTTCTATAAACTGTTTACTATTGTGTGTAGTGGTCCAAACAAGTCAGTGTTTACTTGCCTCTGACCAGCAAATTATAAATAAAGTTCTTCAAACATTAAAAAACAAACATGGAGGAAATTTAAGGTCTGACGGGAGACAAGAGCTGGACTTCATAGCCCATTCACAAACACTCTCAAAACAAACACAAACTCACTGATGACATTACTGATGAAGGATGGAGAGAAGACACGGTGAAGAACCAGTCCCGGAAAGTGACCCAGCTGAAATAAAGACATGAGGATGTTGACGGTGGCCAGCGGTGAACTCAGAGCCTTCAGCTCAAGCACCATCTCCAGCTTGGAGAAAAACTGAGCCTCATTCGCCGGCCGATAACTCATTCGACTGAATGGGAACACAAGCTTCTGGATGACCTAAACAGCGAGAAAGGGAAAAGGGAAACGTTATATAAAGTTATATATAATACTGCTCTACTGGTTTTATAAACGTGGCTTATATATATTCGTGGCCTATAATACTATCATATTTTTTTTTATGTTTTTTAAAAATAAAAAAACTAAACACAATATGCAATGCCTGACACATGACAAAATTGCACATACAGAAATATACATATTGAAATAGCCATAGAGCATTATGCTACAAGCAACACAATAGGGCAGGACCAGTAAACCAGTAAGTGAAACAGAATAGAAATAAATAAGCATAATAAATGTTGTTTAACACAGTATGTCACTCATTTAGCAAAATGAAAAAACAGGATTTGAGGGTGAAAAAGCATTTATTGTGTAATAAAGCCAATTATAATGCTGTTTGAATGACACTATAATTGAAGTTATGAAAGCTAAAAATATATCTGTAGGTTTTCTATCTATATATAATGACTAATGAGCAATATCACCTGTGATGCATGAAATATTGGTGGTCATATGAGTATAACACTGAAAAATGCTTTTCTTACTTATATTTTCTTGTTTTTAGTCCAAATATCTAACAATTCTTATATCAACAAGCATTTTATAGACAAGCAAAACTTATTGTCTTGTTTTAGGAAATGATATGCCAAAATTTAGTGTTTTTTTCCCCTTAAAATAAGCACAATAATCTGCCAATGGGGTAAACAAAATAATCTTGTTTTTTCTCTTGACATGATTAGTTTGCTTATCCCACTGAGTGAATGTATAGATTGCTTTAGGGGAAGAAAAAAAATCACTAAATGTGGACACATGTTTTCTTAAAGGGTCATGAAACCCCCCTCTTTCGGTTCAAGTCTAACTAAAAAAACTTTTTTTAAAATGCTCAGAGATGGCGTGGAGCACTGCTGGCAAAGGGAGGAGTGGACGTGACAGGCAGAGCAGGGAAAAAAGAGGGGAGCGAACAACTATTGTCAGTTGGTTCACAAAATGAGACACAAATCGTGAGGACAGCCATGATTTATAGTTTACAAAGTTAAAATGCAAAAAAAATAAACAGTAATTCAATGTCCTGCTACATATGTTATTCGTAATTTCATATACACATAACCACAATCTGTTATATCACAATAAAGATAATTGTGTTTTAAAAGTATATAAACACTATAAATAAAGAGGACTTCTCTCCTCCTGAATCCTCAGGTCTGAATGCAGACACAGTGGATAGCAGTGCAGCAGGTCTCTTGCCCTGTCTATTTAAACCATTAGCCCTGCCGGTAATCTGGTGGATTTTAAACATTGACAAACACAGCAGCACAGATATTGGCGATGTGTCTGAATGGTAATTAACTTAACAGATGAAAGACAAAGTCCACCATTCTCAAATTCTCGTACAGCTTTGCTGTGTTGGCCCTGACAGCATTGTGTGGAAAATCATGCAACAATCCCTGTGGATTATAGAAACAAACACATACGACCCGTGCCATCCACCGATGCGATCTCACCCAGTAATTAGATCTCACAGTTTGGCAGGTCTGCCTTGCCTTCGGAAAGCACGTGCTCTCATGAATAATTAAGAAGCAGTGTCTTCTCATAGGATAAGAAAACTCAGCTATGAATAATAATAAGAAACTGACGTCATCACTCCACTTGCGGATGTGCGCTATGTCACCGATTTTGATCACGCCTCAAAAATTATTTTAAACCTGGAAGATGACAAAAGCTCAAAATTATCCACTTTTCCCCACAATTAAAGCTGACAAGGGCTAATGTTGTCTTAACTGATGCTCAACACACAAATATGTTAAAATGTCAAAAAAAAGTACTCAAGGGTGTCTTGAACCTTTGTAACAAGACAATAAGTTTTGATTGTCTAGAAAATACTTCACAATTTAAGTTTTTTTTAGATTTTTGGACTAGAAACAAGACAAAAAATCTAAATAAGCAAAGGATTTTTTGCAGTGTTGCTTTAAATGCTTATTTTTAATGTTTATTGGCCTGTCAAGAAAACTATCAATCATTATACTATGGGGCTGTTGAATGCTTGATTCTGATAGGCTAATGAAAATGCTATGGTATGCAATTATTTTCAGATAACTGAACAGCAAAAAATACACAGCACTGTAAAAAACTGCAGGGTTGAACACAATTCCTTCTTGTTGCCCCAACACAAATCAATTAACTTAACTTAATTGTTTTTACAAATATAAATAGATTGAACATAAAACAATGAAGTTGTCTAATTGAAACGTTGAGAATTGTGTTGATACAGCTCATTTTAAATAAGTATTTTGAAAAAGTGAGTGAGCCTAGAACAGACAAATCAAAACAACAGGAAACTAGTGTTACACACAAGGTGTGGTGATTATAGTACAAGCAAAATAATTGACATCTTACTGCTGAATTATTGGAAAACAATGCGCAGGTCGAGGTGTGACTTGGCTTTATGTCATAGTCGCATCCCTACCTTGGGTGTGCATTATTTTGTAATACTTCAACAGCCTAACGTCAATGATTCCTTGCATTTCTGACTGATTATTTCTAAACTTCAGATGCATGCAGCAGATTGATGTCTTTCCCAAGACATAGCATGCAGCAGACACACACTTTTCATTCTAGATGGAAAATAACAGGTCACTGGAGTTTCTGTTTTTATAAGAAACAATACAAGCTGTCTAACCTTGCTATCCAGGTATTCACCCTTCTTGACCAGGAAGTCAGCAATAGTGTCTAGCAAGCGTGTTTCTCTCAGACGATGGCGAGCAATGTACTTGGCGATGAGAGCCATGGTGTAAGGTGTGATGCTGTCAACCTTCTTAGGCAACTCCTCTAAAAAGACAAAGGGGATTTAAAGTTAGACAACTCTACTATAATACAACTTCTTTTAATGTAGAAAGCGCACTGATGAGTCATTGACGTTTTACTATTTTATTACATTTCCATTTTAATTACAAATCACTTATGTTCAGCAAGCATAGATCAGAACTGACCATATTAATCATGGTTTGACATTGCAAATTTTTAACCACAAGAACAAGTTCTATTTTCAAATATATTAAAATAAATTTTTATATACATTTAAAATGGCTAATATGTCAAATTTTTACTACACGATAGAACATATAAACTTAATTGCTGGAGGGCCGCAGCTCTGCATAGTTTAGCCCCAACCACCTCCAACTCACACTTGCTTAATAGTCTGTAGTCTTAAACACTTTGATTATTTGGATTAGTTGTGTTTGATTAGGGTTGGAGAAAAACTGTGCAAAGCTGCAGCCCTCCAGGAATCCAGTTTGAAACCTATCTAATGCATCTTGAATGAGAATTGAAAATCTGAATGGTAGTGTAATATATAAACTATATGAAACATACTCAAATAAGAAAATTATGACAATAATTATTAAGTATAGCTTCTTTTTGTTCTCACACAGAACTATAGACAATTTGTGCAACCTTAGAAATAGGTTTGAAAGTTTTGGTCACATTTTATAATTAAGTTCCATTAGTTAATGTATTTACTAACATGAACTAAAAATGACCAATACTTGTGCAGCATTTATGTATCATAGTTAATGTTGATTTTACTAATAACCAAATTGAAATCTACGTTGTGCTTGTTAATGCAAGTTCACAAGAACTAACAATGAACAACAGCATTTTCATTTATTAATATTAACAAATACGAATAAATACTAATGTATCTTTCAGCGTGTGTTGATGTTCGTAAATAAATTAAATGAATAGTTCACCCATAAATTAATGTTTTTTCTCTCTTAAGTCATTCCAAAAGTTCTTACCTTTCTTTTTTCTACAAAAAGGAAGATATTTTGAATAATGTTGGAAAATGGTAGACTCTGACATCCATAGTAGAAAAAAAATACTATGACAGTCAATGGCTTCCAACATTCTTCAAAATATCTTCTGTTATTATTTATAGGCTGGTATAAGATTCTGACGGTATGATAACCTTGGATATGAATATCACAGTTTCATATTGTGACTACTGCTCTAAAATAAGTGCTTTGCAAAATGTCTGGGTAAAAAAACAACAAATTTTGCCCCATTGAACAAAACATATTTAAATTTAAGAAGCATTTAAAATTCTTTGGAACAATAAACATGTCAGGCTCAATAATTCAAATTAATCATTGACTTCTGCTATCGTTCCTTAGTTTAAAAAACACAGATTTCTTTACAACTTAAAAAAAGCCATCTTAGGGTATGTTTCTCTTTTTGTATATCAAGTAAGTCACTGCACTATTCAGGTCCAGCATGACTTTATGTAGGTAAATAAGCAATTTGTTTTACAAATGCTTCCTGATATGTGGGCTGACCTATAGCTTTCGGTTTAGATTATTCTTTTCTGCTGGAGATACTGTTGCCCTTAAAACTTTAATAAAAACTGTACTTTAATTTTTAGCAGTTTTAAAACCTTTACTTTTCCAAACTGTGGTGTACCTTGAAACTGGTTATCATCCCATGCCTATCTGTTATAAAACAGAAGACTCTGACATAAATGTCATTTTTAAGTGAACTATACCATTATAAATACAAATGTGTCTTTATCTTACCTGCCAGGCTGCTCACAAACTTCTCCTGCCGGTTCTGGTAGAACAGGTGTGAGCTGAAGATGAGCTCAAGGCTCTTGTTGCTGGCCTCTCTGGCGCAGGCTGACAGCATCTCGTCCAGCAGAGCCATTTCATGGTCCCTGACGCTGCTGACACTGGCCAGAGTGTGCTTCACCAGCCGCAGGATCTTCCGGTTCACCACCAGCTGCTCCGGCGAGGCTGTGTCTGCCGCCCGCAGCGCTCTCCATTTGGTGCGGTAGTAGGAGAGCAGGAGGAAGAGCGTTTGAGGATGACGCTCCCGCTCAATGTTCTTCTCCAACCCTGCCAGACAGGACTCAATCAGGGGATGCTGGCTGGACGGATGGAGCTTCATGCTGCTGCTGAAAACCATGGAGATGTCCTTCTGGTTGAATTGGGACAGACGAGCCTGAGACTCTTCCTCCAGAACCTGCACGATCTGAGAGTCACTGGGCAAGCCTGAGGGGACCAGAGAAACACAAAAGATTGAGTTATATGATATACATAACTTATATAATTTACATTTCTCTTTTTAGTTTCTAGTTTCTTAAAGTGTTGAAGAGTTCTGCTTTAATATCTGTATAACCTTTTATTAATGTGATGGAAAATATGTTTCGTGTTTGCTTCAAGCATGGTTTGTGCTATAAATATGTTTCAAAGTTTCCTCCATGATGATTGAAAACCTAACTTTTCAGATTTAAATGTGCAAATTAAATGTGCAGGACTCACCAAGAGCAGCGACAGCGTAAAGGCAATTAACAATGCTGAAGTTGTCAAACTTGGAGCAGTCATTAACAATAGCATCACAGAGCGTCTGGAAATCCTGATTATCTAAAATCTGTCGTACGGTGTTCTCCCCGGACCCTCCAGCAGCAGAGGATGCAGCCAGGACTCCTTCACCCGCTCCTCCACCAGCAGCACCACCCGCTTGACCTCCAGCCTGATGCAGCACCAGCAGCTGGCCGATCTTCTGCAGGGCAATGGGGTAATGATTATGCGAGATCTTCCCTGGATTCTGCGTGACCCATCGGAGCACTTCATCCACGCTTCGCGAGCGATCTATCAGCCGTTTCATGGTGAAGAAGGTGTCATAGCTCATCTTCTCATGGATGAAGTTCCAGGTCTTCTTCTTGCTGTGGTGCAGATGAGCGTGAGGCTGGTAGTGCGGAGGGGGAAGGTGAGCGACTGGAGGAGGGTGCGTGTGGTAGTGCTGGTGGGTCTGGTAATGGGGCCGGTGGGCATCTAGACGGGCTGGGTAAACTGCTGGGTAACTCTGAGGCTGGTGAACGTGAGGGTGAAGTGGATGATGGTGGTGGTGGTGGTTCTCCAGCATTGGTGGCCCTCCCCCCATGAGGCCGATGCGCCGACCCGGCTTGCCTCCACCACTGCTGTACATGCGTGTAGTGTACATACTAGCGAGAGCACCTAGACTCAGTAGGCAAGATGGCTGGTGGGGCGAGGAGAATCTCCTGCTGGCTACGAGGCTGAAGCGAACAGGCAGCCCCAGCATGGTATACAGGGTGGTCCAGCAGCGAAGTTCAAGTGAACACTCCTACAAACAAACCCACAAGATTTATTGAGTGTGTGTGTGTGTGTGTGTGTGTATATATATATATATATATATATATATATATATATATATATATATATATATATATATATATATATATATATGTATATTATATATATATATATATATATATATATATATATATATATATATATATATATATATGTATTTATACTCATATATATGATTCTTTCCCCCAGCAAATTACAGAAACTCATCTCCACACTAATGAAGGCAGGAATCAGGCAGGAACTGCTCCAGAAATAGACAGTAACTTGAGAATTGTCAAGATGATGTGGCCTTTCCTGAAGGATATCCCATCATCACATCTCAATCAGACCTCATTTATGACTTGAGATCATTTTTATTAAACAGCAGCACAATTGTCCTGACTATGAGGTTGAAACTAACTCAAAGTTTGAGTTATCCTGACAAGAATGTGCCCAAAAAATTTGGGGACAGTAAGATTTTGACACACATTTATAAAAAAAATATTTTATACTAATCCTGTTCTTTTAAACTTTCTTTTCATTAATCATCCCAGAAAAATGTACAACAGACTTCACAAAAATATTTAGCTGCTGGTAAAAACATGACAGAAAGTATGTATTGTGAATACTTCACAATATTACTGTTTTACTTCACAACATTACTGTATGACTGTTTATTAGTTTTTCTGTATTAGTTTTTCTAATAGAGCAGTAAAGATATCTCAAGTATGAATCCCTCCTCTCTCTTTCTTATTGAGAGATCTGCTGTCAATAGTTGGAAATGAGCAAAAAATTGGAATGGTCCTGCAATTTTTTTACATTTAACAACTGAAAGTTTTGTGTTTTTGACAGTATTACAAATTCTTTATTAGATTAGAATTATTAAATAAAACTTTTTTAACATAAATATTTAATAATATAACTTCTTGTATTACATTCATTGCTATAAGCAGTATTTATATAGCATTTTAACTTATTTTCATCTTTCATTATTTGCAATGTTTCCAAATTGCATTGTTTGTCATTTTTCTGTGGCGGTTCATTCTGCTTTGGTGACCCCTGATTAAAAAGGCACTAAGCTGAATTAAATGGAATGGATGAATTGTTTTCTGTAAAGCTGCTTCTGGCCATGACATGTTCACATCTAATTTTTTATAAGAGACATGTTTATTAAATGTCTCAATAAATGGGCCAGACATTTGAGACGTTCCATACCAAGAGGCTCAGGAAATGTTCTTCTAGAAGCCCATAAAGATACATTGCAGTGAAAAAAGCTGCACAGTTTGTGAATAAAAAAGATATAAAATAAATATGAATTTATAGTTTACATTTCCTTGTGTCAGTGTGAGTCTGAACAATAAAATACTGTTTTGTTTTCAACTTTTCTTTAAGCTTTTCCTTTCAAGTTCTTTAAAATTAACTTGTTTTCGCTTTGAAATGTAGATATTTGGACTCGAAACAAGACAAAAATTGCAGGCTTAAATATAATAAACGATTATTGAACAATAAATCAGCATATTATAGTGATTAAAGTAATTTCTGAAGGATCTTGTTACACAGATACCTGGAAATAACAATTGATCTGTCATCAAACAATATATAACAGCTTTTAAATGCATTATTATGTTAAATAGTCATTTTAAAATGAAAGTTATTTTCCATACAGTGAACTCAGTGGTGCTGTCAAACATGTCATTGCGTAAATAAACAACTTTAGCTTTTAGAAGTACATATCAAAATGTGTGCGTGTATCATGAACTACTGTCTGCTTTTTCTGTCATGTTTGGAAAATGGTCAGCTTTAGCTTTCGTTCCCTTCTGTAAAGAAAAGAAATGAGGAATAGAAAACAGTGACACATTTTATTTAGGGTGAACTGCTTCTTCATAAGTTCTGGACATAAACCTCTTCATTGACAGTAAAATCCTAGCGTTGTCATAGTAAACACAGTAAACATACCACAATAAAACAGACCACACGTACTATTTTACTCTCCTACAATATCTGCCACAAGACCTCAAGAATACAGTAGTTAAATCAGGCTTACATGTTTATCTCAGAGGATGGCGCATGGATGGATGTGCAGGGCCAGCAGGATGAGTTCGCCCGCAGGAGTCAGTGGCATTGGCAAGGTTATCGTTCGGGTTTTCTAGTCGATTCGACGGATAAACGTGCAGGACAGCGGCGTGAGTTTATAAGCTGGTCTGTAGTAACGACTTTAAGGGGAATGACATGTTGTGAAAGCAGGAATTATGGAGCATCTGCTGAGGCCCCGGAAGAGGAGCAAAGCTGAGCTGCTAACGAGCTGCTGCTGCTACACCCAGGAAACACTTCTCAGTGTCTGCGTGTTGAAACTTGTGTTGCTCGTGATACAAAACGGCGAGAGGTTTATTAAAGTATGGCTGATATTGTGCGTGAATTTGGTGCGGTCGGTCAGGGCATGGCTTGATCAACATGCACGACTCTTACCCAGCAGCTAAAGTCAGACAGTGATTATCAGAGTAGAGGTAAAAGCTGCCTGAGCGGAACTGTTTCTGTCTATGATCTCGATGCAGACTCATACACGAGGCTGCTGTCCTGACGCCGCGGCGGACTCGTCTGTCAGGGCCTGTGAACTCGGGATGCCCAGCCTTCCGTCACACTCCCCTTGCACTCCACCAGTGGTCGTCCGCCGCCCCGGTGTTCGCCATATTCCCGGAAGTCAACAGTGGCAGTACGGAAACACGTGTTTGTGGGACGGAGAGAGTTTTTTTTCTCTTTGCCAAAATACTAGTTTTACTGGTTTTAAAAGTAATGTTAAATCAAAGTAACAATTCCAATACTAATGCCTTTTTTTGTAATTCAGAGAACAAAAATGTCAAAATATCAACGTGAAATTTTTGGTGAACAAATCATTTGTACATATCATTAAGAATAAAATAGTTTGCGGCTGTTTTTATTAACAATGCTTGAACAGCATGTTACAGAAAGGCATTAATACTTTTTAAAATTACACAAAAGACTAAAATAACAACTAAAATAACAATCAATTTACATTCACAATCTTAATCTTTTCATCCTCATTAAAAATATGATTACATCAAATATAAATAAATAAAATAACAAAAATTTACAAATAAATGATAAAGAAAAATATTTAGCTGGGGGGTTCAAGTTCTCAAAATATGAAACTAAAATTCTATAATGAAGATATAAATGTCTTGCTTTTTGAATTTTTATCTCTCTTAATGCCTTCCAATATATCACAATTTGTTCTTTAAAGGTTCAAGAAACCCTGAAACCCTGGAGTAATTTTTTGTTGAGTTTTTACAGATTTGTGTGTTGAGCATTAAGACAACATTAAATGTAAATCAAAGGCGGCAACACTAAGGCTCCAAAAATACCGAGTTTTGCATTTTTATTCTGTATGTTTGAAAAACAGTTTATTTTAAATTGTTCTATGGAAACGTTACATTGATGATGTTTTTTTAATATGGAGTGGCACTCAGCTGTTGGAATTTCATTCTTATGTCAATAATTCTTCTAACGCTTTGAAGTTTACCATGGAATTCCATAAACATAAAATGAATTTTTTAGATGTACTTGTGAGTTTGACTGCATCTGGTATACAAACAACATTATACCGAAAACCCACTGATCGTAACACCATTTTACCTGGACATTCGTACCATCCTGTGCCATTAAAACGTTCGTTACCTATATCTCAATTTAGTCGTATTCGTCGGATCTGGCAGTGGAGATGAAGATTTTAAACAGCAAGCAGGGAGTTTATCAGATAGATTTAGAGAACGATCTTATAAGGAGGAGTGGATACAGTCTGCACATGATAGCTTTAAAGATATGTGAAGAATATGAGGTGCCGTATAGGATTTAAATCAAACTTTGCTTATCAACACATACATAAAACACATGTATATACACCTATAAATTACTCGCATATACACCTATACTACTGGATGTTCAAAACAACATGGATAAAACTTGTGTATATACATATAAACTTGACGCATGAATACACCCACATACACACGCACATACATAAAAACTTGATAAAAACTCGATCCTCACATAAACACTCACATTAACACACGCACATACATATAAACTTGCTGATGCAAACACACCTATACACACTCGCATATACATATAAACTTGATCTATGCATACACCCATAAACTCTCACATAAGAATATAAACTTGATGTGTGCATAAACAACCAAATTACACTTGTGCAAACATACAAAATAAAATTCACAAACATATACAGTTAGTTGTGTATATACATATATGCAAGTGATTTCATATGTGTGTATGCATGAATTTTCACAGTAAAAGGAAGTTATTTTACTTTAAAAGGAAGTCGTTTAATTTCAACGTAAAAGTCCTTTGAGTGTAATGAACAAGATTATTATTTGTCATGAATCAGGTTATTGCAAACCTTAAGAAACAGAAGTATTATTAGAGGAATTACATCTGTTGAATTATGAAAATAGATTATGCTAATTATAAAAAATAAATAAATAAAAAGGTAATGCTAAGGAATGCTCCTGCAAAATTTAAGGTTTATTATGCAATTAAATTATTGGAAATGTTATTATGGTTTAATAAATATAAAGTTGCTTAAGTAATAATTTTGAATAAAATATGTTTGTCTAATATTAGTTTTTTATGTTTGTTTTATTATTGCTGTCACTATTCGTCAAGGGTTATGATACACACTTATGTCCAGTAGGGGGCAGGAATGCACTTAAGTGGGTTTTCCTTTTACCAAAAAACAGGCTAATGCACCAAAATGCTGGATGCCAGCTGCTGTAAAAATATAAGTAGTAGTTATTAAACACAAAAGGAGTGTCCAGATAATATATATAGCTTTTCCATGGGGGTTAACTTGACCAACATGATGAGCAGAGACTTTTAATCAGCGTTTTTTTTTTTTTTTTTTTGTATATGCTGAATAATTAACAATCAAAATAATACCAAAATCTTGCAATTTTGACACCCACATTGTAAAAACATATAAAAAGCATAATAATTATAAAAATGTAAAAACAAAACAAGAAGACTATAGGCTACATTAACATTTTTAATAAAATAGAGGAGTTTAGTTTGAGTATACATTTATATTTATAATTCTGGTTGCTTTTTGAACATCCTTTAAGGGTTCTATCAGTCCATTTGTGTATGTAATTACCTAATTAAATGAAAAGGTTTTAAATAAAAATATTTCTTATTTTGAATAGTCTATTTATATAGACTAATATTTTATGCAACATATGTTCATAATTTAACATATTTAATCCCTCTATTAATCACATTATTTCTATTTCATAAGCTTTGCAATAACGAGATTCGTGATAAATGTGAATTTTTTACTTCATTTTTTTTGTATGTTTGCGCGAGATGTTGTAGGTGTGTTTGCATGCAGTGAGTTTGTGTATGTGCACGTGTTGTTGAGGGTGTATATGCATAGACCGAGTGTATATGCGAGTATGTATAGGTGTGTTTGCATGCTGCGAGTTTATATGTATGTGCATGTAAATGTGGGTATTTATGCAAGAATCGAGTTTATATGTAGCCTATATGCGAGTGTGTATAGGTGTGTTTGTATGAAAGTAAATCAGTAGCAATACTCGAGAGCTTGCAAATGTAAATGTGAGCACTTGTGATAATAATATTTGTATGTGTAGGTTGAAATGTACACTTACAGCTCTGATGTGAACAGCTGAAATCCTCGATTTGCACACACACACAACAATCCACACACTTGTGTTTTAAATTGGAAGTTGCAGATTAATAGTTGTGTATTTGTAAAATGTCATTCACAAATACAAAGTGACAGACACACATGTGCAAGGCAAATTTGATTGCATCTTTGCTCTACAACCACAGGTCGGCACTCACAACCTCTCAGATTCGTCAGTACAACTACAAATCTCCCGCGCTCTGACTTTTGCTACACATCTCCCGCGATCTCTGTAGCAGAACTCATCTGTGCACTCGCACATGCAGAGGCGTGAGCAGCGCGGGGCGGGGGAGGGGCGCGGCAGGTGTAAAGCTGTTTGATTGGCTGATGCCTGACCAATGAACAATGCCAGCAGCCAACAGGACTGAGGTGCAAAATAATAATTTCCCACGATTATTTCATTAGTTAGGGTTTATTTAAACACTTCTGAAGAGATTCTTGTTAAAAATCATAAATTCTACTGTAATGTACATACCAGTAAAAGAGCAGCAAAGCCAGTTTATTGGCTAGAGCCAGCCAATGAGATGGGGCGTTTCTGTTTGTCAGCACACAGGGCAGCTCACGTTGTTGGAGGCCTCGAGCAATCAGAGGGTAAGTTATGATTTTTTTAATAATTATCTATATGTTCAATACTGTTAGCTAAGCTAAGGACTGTGCTGGGTGCTTCTCTTGTTTGTTTCTTATATAAGAAAACAGTTATGAGTTATCTAGGAGCTGCTTTTAATCATGTTATATGGTTCTAAAGATACGATTCAACCCACATGAAATAAGAAGTTGTAATAGCATTTATAGTAAACAATATTATGTTTTTGAACCATACTAACTATAATAAACTGTATTATACTGTATATTTTGCAGTATCTACAACTTTGTTAATGAATGCAACAGCACACTGTAGTATTAACTAGCATGAACTTTAATGAATTGAAGTATACTTTATATGTAAAACCTAATACATTTTAAAGCAGTTTCATTTCTTTCTAATTTATACATCTACATGCATTACATCTGATTTAGGTCCACAACTTGCATCCTTCAACATGATATGTGTGTTCAAAGGAAGAGCAACTAGGTGAGGGAGACAGTGTCCATCGCTCGGCAGAGGGTCCACTTTGAGCATCTCATCTGCAGGGTTAAGCAACATAAGCTGAACAGTCATCATCTCTCTCTATTACAGCGAGCATCAACCAGCTTTACACAATGGCTTGCTTTCTGACCATTAGTACAGGCTTGAGCAAAGGATTAAAGAGGAGATAACATTTGATGGGTAATGATGAAGTTGGATTTACCACCTCCATCTCATTATGAACAAGGAAAAACCCTGAAATATTTCAATACAAGTAACTAGACATTTGCACTGCACTTATTTGGACTGTAAATTTTATTTGACAAATTACATTCCCTTACAGAACAGGTGTCAAACTCAGTTCCTGGAGGGCTGCAGCTTTGCAAAGTTTAGTTCTAACCCTAATTAAACACACCTGATCAAACTAATTGAGTCCTTCAGGTTTGTTTGAAACTTTCACTTAAGTGTGTTGAAGCAGGGTTGCAACTAAAAACGTGCAGGGTTACGGCCCTTCAGGAACTGAGTTTGACACCCCTGCCTTACAGTAAAGTGTAAAAATACTACATTAAACAATTATCAAAATAAAAGTTGTGTGTGGGTGAGTGTGTGTTTTGTTCAAATCTGTAGTCATCTTGGCAGGTAAAAAGAGAAAATAAATGGTCGGCTTCCTCTTGAATGATCTGAATCATTTTGAAGTGTTTGTAGATGAGCTGGATCATCATGTCATCTTTAGCATAAATAACATCCTATTCAAGCTATGCAGCTTCTCTGAGTTCCTCATCGACTTGAAACATGCTGATCTCTCCTGTCACTCCATCCTTACAGGAAACTGAGAAATGAAGGTAGTAACTTTCATAATTAAAAAAGTGATATAAAGGA